CACTTTAGTCTAAGTCAGATCAGCTTCAAATCAGACTCAGATCACTTTAGACTAAATCAAATCAGCCTCAAATCAGACTCAGACCACTTTAGTCTAAGTCAGATCAGCTTCAAATCAGACTCTGACACTTTAGTCTAAGTCAGATCAGCCTCAAATCAGACTCAGATCACTTTAGTCTAAGTCAGATCAGCCTCAAATCAGACTCAGATCACTTTAGTCTAAGTCAGATCAGCCTCAAATCAGACTCAGATCACTTTAGTCTAAGTCAGATCAGCCTCAAATCAGACTCAGTTTTGGACCAGTTACAGACTCAGATGGAGGTCTCAGATCAGACTCAAACAGTGTGTTTGTCTCAGTCAGGTTTTACTGCATGATTCTCTCTTGCGGTTTAAGTGTTTGCCGTCACGCACACATCTGCTAGAATCACGTCTGCTCTCAAATGAACCCCGTCTGTTTTCGATCCGCGCACGCACGTTAGCACAGAGACGTTAATTAGCGCGGGTCCCGGAGCGTACGCTGACGGTGGGCAGTGAAATTCCTGCTAAAGCACACACACACATGTGCTGCTGGCATTTTTGAGGTGTTTGAATCAGATCTTTGTTGGGCTCAGGTCTGATGGGCTCCGGCGGCTGTGTTTGCAAGCCATCTTTGTTCCAGAGAGACTCGAGCGCTTTATGGCTGTTGTGTCAGAGACGGCGCTGACTGACTCTATTGTGCTCGTGTGCTAGCGCGCTTTATTCTCTCTCTGACGCGCCCGCTGCGGATTAATCATACAGCCGAACTTTGAACCGCCGTGTCTAATATTTCTTGAACAGATTCCCAGAGGAACGCACTGCTTTATCAGGAGAAACGCTTCTCAGCGACACAAGCCTGATTTCACACCGCGTTCAGGGTTCCCACGCTCGAGTCTGACTTCCAGGCCTAAGCCAAAATAAATCAGAAATGTCTGTAATTAATATATTGCTTTCTAATATGCAATGGCATTTTAATAAATCTCTGCAAAAATAATTGTTAAAAATCTTTATCCAGTAAGCAAAAGTGTCTGGAAATACCATGGATATTAACTGGTTTAAAAACTAACTAAAACACATAAAGTACTTTTTTGCCGTTTTAACGCAATTTTATTTATTTATTTATTTTTGCAAATTTTTACACTGCTTTTTGTTTTAATCATACTTTTTTTTTGTCATAATTGAAAGGATATTTTGTTCTTTTGCAAATATTTTATCATGCCAATTTATTCATCAACATACATTGTTTTAATTGCGGAGCATGTTTACCATTTAATTGACCAAACATTTAAACATATTTTAATATATATTTTAATATTTTTTATATGCATGTTAATATCATTTTATTTATTTTTTTATCATGTCAAAACAAAATCAACATGTGAAAACATCGTATCATGTCATATTCATTCATTTTAGGCAGTTTTACACTAATTTTAGTTGACAAATTATGTTTTAATTTACAGAAATGTTGACCAAATTTAATTGACCAAATGTTAAAATGTAATTTATTACATTTAATTGACCAAATATCAACATTTAATGAACTATTTATTGATCAATTGTTGAAACTTAATTTATATTGCTTGACGTATCAAAACAAAAATGTGAAAAATGTTTTTGATGTGAAAATCTCATATCCTGAAATAACATTTTAATTATTTTAATTCAATGTTTAACTTAATTTAGTTTTGATTTGTCGTAATTGAAAGCATATATTCATATTCATTAATATTTAAGTAAATTTTAGTATAATAGTATAATATTGTAATTCAATTTTTAATCACTGATTTTTTTTTATTTATATTTGAATACTGAATATTTGCAAAAGAAGAAAATATCCTTTCAATTATGACAGAAAAAAAGTATGATTAAAACAAAAAGCAGTGTAACAATTTGCATGAATAAACATTTGAATATATTAATATGTATGTATTATATTACTTGAAACATGCATCGATATGTAACATAACTGTAATGAGCTAATGACGTGTGTTGTGTCCAGGAGGTGAAGATCATGGTGCTCCCGTGCCGCGGCGTGCAGCCGGTGGAGGAGGCTCTGGAGGACTGCAGGCGCGGCATCCTTCCCATCATCCTCTACGCCGTCAGTAAAGACTCGCTGAGCGCCGAGCAGGTGAGCGACCTGCAGAAGGTGCGTGAGACGCTGCCGCTCCCCGTCTGCTTCGTCCGGGCCCCCAGCGGCCCCTCGGACCCCGAGCCGTCCCCTGGCGCCCTCTACAGGCAGCTGCTGTCTCTGGAGCTCGTGGGCGGAGCGGCGGGAAACTGTGCCTGCGGAGCTCCGGCACAGACGCAGAGCATTGTGGGAGAGAGTCTGGAGCGTCTGCAGCGTGTGCTGGGGCCCTTCACTCGACAGCTGCTGCAGAGCCAACAGGTGGAGGCCGCCTCGCTGCTGAACGCCGTCCACTGCCGCTGCCTCGACCTCTTCATCAACCAGGTGACGCTGCTACACTCATCCAGCAGAGAGCGCTAGCACATTACAACACATTCCTGCTTCACACACTAGACTTATGTTTCTCGTCAGCGCTGTGAATCCTGAGAAATAAAATGCATCTAAATATTTATGTTTTCAACATTGATAACAATCAGAAATGTGCAAATCAGCATATTAGAATGATTTCTGAAGATCATGTGACACTGAAGACTGGAGTAATGATGCTGAAAATACAGCTGCGCATCACAGAAATACATTACAGTTTAACAGGTATTCACACAGAACACAGCTGTTTTACATTAGAATAATATTTCACAATTTTTACAGTATTTTTGATCAAATAAACACAGCCTTGGTGAGCAGAAGAGACTTCTTTCAGAAACATTTGAGCACTAATGTAGTTGCTACTGGATTTGGAAATATTTTGATAAATGTTTTGTCTCGCATAAAATACATCAGGGATATATCACATATAAGAAGAAACAAAGGGTTAAATTTCATCGTGTTGCAGCTTTTGATTTAAAAAATGTTTTAAATGTTTTAGTAAAATTAGTGATAAAATAAGTAATAAAAACCAGTGATTTAAAATTTAAATTTGCTTTTCTTGCTTTTCTAAAAACTAAAACCAAAAAAAACAAACTAAACTGAAATGATACATTGAAGATAAATATAGAAATAAAATAAGCAGCAACTATCTGAAATAAAATGTATTTTCTATATTTTATTTTATTTTTGTTAAAGCCTTTTTCTTTCCTGTTTTAGTTGTGTTTAAACTAGTGCTGCATGTTCATCATTCTGCTAATATTTTACAATGAGGTTTCATTAGTTAACATGAGCAGTATTTCACAGGATTTAATCATGTTAGTTAATTCCAACATTTGTGACCCTGGAGCACCAAACCAATTGATATTTTGATATCCAGTTCTGTCAGGTTGGATGGTAAACGTTGGTGGACAGCAATTTTTAGGTCTCTCCAGAGATGCTCAATTGGGTTTAAGTCAGGGCTCTGGCTGGGCCATTCAAGAACAGTCACAGAGTTGTTAAGCCACTCCTTCGTTATTTTAGCTGTGTGCTTAGGGTCATTGTCTTGTTGGAAGGTAAACCTTCGGCCCAGTCTGAGGTCCTGAGCACTCTGGAGAAGGTTTTCGTCCAGGATATCCCTGTACTTGG